ATAGTTCTAAAGTCATATTTAGCTATAATAATTTTTTCTGACCTAATTTTTTATGTCTTATAAAAAAGAAGTCAATACAGTTTCAGGTTCAGAGGGCATCCTTCTAGGTGGCACTTCATAGATCTTCTTTAAGATCCAATTTAAGGTTTTTAATTTTTTTTTTTAATAATTTTAATATTATATTGAAAATTAACTAAAAAAAAAATAATTACAAAGTTATATAATTACAACAAACAAAAAACTAAAAAACAAAAACATAGACAAAAGGTTAACAAAACTCTTGTTATATGCTCTAATTCACATATATAGCTGTTATATGCAATCAAACATATAAACAAAAACTAGAAAACAAAAATATGTCTACATTTAAGACAAAGAGCCAATAAAACTTTTGTTATATGCTTCAACTTACATGTATAGTTGTTGTATACAATTAAAATATGAAGAAAGAAAAAATAATAAGTATTTTAAAAGTTTTTTTTTAATAATTACTAAACAGTTATTTCTTCTGTTTATAATATTCTTTATTAGGCATATATTAAAAAGGATGACAATAATCTTCTTATTTAAAGTTTGCAATTTGTAGTCATTATTCAGCACTTATTATAAATGTAATATAAGGCTTTACACTTTGAGATCAACTTTTTACTACAGAAATACTTTTTGGTAGCACCTTCCAACAGGACTTTGTCTTTAATCTTAAATTTAAGTTTGATTTAATATCTATGATTATAATAAGTTTTCTGCTTTGCTTGTTTTTGATAAGTTCTTTTAATAGCTTTATTCCTAAAAAGAGAAACTTAATTTATCAATTTGAAAATTTTATGCAAGATAGTTTCTTCTAATAGGTTCTTAGCTTGGCTAAAATATATTAGTTGCTTTGCTTTATAACTGTACACAAGAAAAAATAATGTTATTATTGTTGTTAAATTCTGATAAGTGAAAAATAATGAAATAAGTAGGTTATAGTCAAAAATATTATTGACCAACTTTTCTAAAGCTTTACATAGATCTTATTAAACTGTTCAACAAGACCATTAGTGTTAAAGTGATTTGGAGTAAAGAAGTTTTGTTTCATATAGATTGTCTTAAGAAAAATCTTATTATTTTATTTCAGAAATAGGTGTTACAGTCAAATAGAATTGATATAGAGTATTTATAATAATACACAATATTATTATACAAGAAATTAACTATTATTTGAGTATTGGTTTTTTGTACAAAAAATGCTTTAGGCCAACAAGCTATAAAATCTGTAGCTACAATGATGTAATAATTCAATTATGGTGTTTATGACAGAAGATTCACAAAATCAATGCTTCTCTTGTAGAATAATGCAGCAATAAATATAGGATAAAGAGAATTTTGATTATATGGTTTTATTCATTTTGACAAGAATCATATGTTTGAACATACTTTTATATATTCAGATATATCTAAAGCTAAAAATAAGTATTGCTAACTTTTACAAATATATTGTTCTTATTGAAATGTTCTTTCAAGAAGTGAGTATATACTAAAAACAAAATTAAATCAATCTTATACTTCTGCAACATCTTTAATAAGTTTTTTTTTTTCTTTAATTCTTTTTATATAAAAGTTCTTCTTTCAATTTAAAGAATTCACTTTTTTTTTAGAGTTTTTATTACTAAGTTTAATTGAGGATAGTTGGTAAGTATTTGTCTTTTAAGTACTTTTCAAATATTGGTAATAAATAGCATCCATTATTTCTTCAAAAAAAAGTCCAATTTACATTATTATTATTATTATTATTAATTGTCTATTGTACCTATTATTGCATATATATATATATATATTTCAAAAAAAAAATTATGCTTGCTTCTCTCTTTTTGTTAGATACTAAAACACTGCTAACCTGGTTTGAATTATTAACAAAATAGATTTTATTTGTTTTATTTTTTATTTATTTTTTTTTTTATTATGCCTTATTATTAATTTTTTTTTTAAATTTAAAAATTTATTTGACATTATAAATAACTTTATCAAAGTATTAGAATTATAGTAGACATTATTATGATAGTTAATAATTTGAAAATTATATAATTGCAAATGCAATATCTAACAGACATGACAACCAGTTAATTTAGCAGTTTGAACTATTTCAGAATGACATAATCAGTTACTACTATAAAGAGATTTAACTTAATATAGTAACAAAAATGTTTAATTGTCCAAAGAACAGCAAGACACTTATGTTTAGTAGTGGTGTAGTTTTTTTAGCTTTGGTTATCTCTCAACTGATATATGCAACTATGTACTTGTTTTCTTTATTAACTTTTTGTACTAGCATAGCATCCAACCAAAATCAGAGATGTTAGCATAGATTATAAATATTTTTCCAAAATTAGAGTATTAATTAAATATAGCTTTAGCTAGTTGAATGCATTATTCTGGTCTTTTAGTAATAACTTGATTGTGGTGATTAGTCAAGAGATTAGAATAAATGTTAATAATAGATAAAGGAAGTACCAGATAAAAAAGTGAATGTTTAAAAAAAGTAAAGTTAACAAAGTCATATGTTTTACTCATTGTCTAAGTCCTATGTATAAATAGATATATAGTAATAGACAATATATAATAGATTCCAATTTAGATTTAAGTAAATCTAATTTAGATTTATTTAAATCAAATCTAAATTTATTTAAATCTAAGTAAATTCAAGTTAAATCCAATTCAAGGTTTTTTTCATTTATACTTAATATTTTTGTACAACAAGAAGTAAAGAGGATAAGCAATTGTAATAAACTTAAGTATGAATTTTTGATAGTACAATGCCAATTTCAAGAAACCTTGCAACTCATAAAGAAACTATAATACAAAAAAACTTTAGACTTTTTTAACTTTATTCTCATTAGAGTAAATACCCTTTTAACTAATAATATAATTCAAAAATTGCAAATGAAGTCTAAAGAAAAAACACTTATCTGAGTTTAATTTTAAACCTACACTCTACAGCTTATCAATGACAGTATTAAAATAGTTAGTATGTTCTTTGAATAATATTGAATAGATAATTATATTATCAAGATATATAACAACAAATTAGTTTAAAAATTCTGCCAGCACCTGGTTAATTATTCACTAAATTGTAACAAAAGTGTTTATAAGCTCAAATAGCATTATTACAAACTCAAAGATGCTAAAATTTGCTACAAATATAGTTTTTTTTCTATTACCTTTACTTACAGAAACCTGCTAATAGCTAGACATTAGATTTAATGTTGAAAACGAAGTTGCAGACCCACAAACTTCTAATAGGTTATTAATACAAAAAAGAAAAAATATATCTTTTTATAATTGCATTAAGCTTCTAATAGTCAATGCAATTAAAAGAATATAGATACAATTTTTTTTTCTTTTTTGTTACAATAATTACAGAAAATGCCTACAGGCTTATAATTTCTCTTACTAACTCTTTTATTTTAAGTTTTTTAATTTTCTTTTTTATGAAATTATATATACTAGGAGCAACACAATAAAGATATTGTTTAATTAGCATTGCACTACTGGTATTAATTTTATATATTATTAGAATTATTTAGTCTAAATTATTTGTATCTTGAGCAAATATATATTTTATCATTTAAGAAGGTTTGGGTTATCTAGACTGGTTTTGAAATTAGGTGGGTTGTACATAGACTTTTTTATAACTTTACTTCTAAGAGCTCATTTTTAAGGTCAGATTCATTAGACAGTATTTTTTCTATATGTGACAAATATATGCAAAGCTATAATAGTTCTTTCATAGGTTATTAAAGAATTTATTATCTAATACTTCATTATCAAACTATTTTTTAGTCTTATTTAATATATTGTCTTTATACTTAAACTTGTCAAACATCTTATTTTTCTTATTTTTTATAGCTTTAGCAAAGGAGCACTTATCATTATATGATATTGCTATCTCAACAACTTGATTCTAAAGTGCACATATAGCTTACTTTTATTTATATGCAAACAAACACATATTTATTTAAACTAATTTATCTCTAATAAAAAGGTTTCATTCTTTAATTCAATTATCTGAAAGATGATAAGGATCATAATTTTTTTAAAATTAGTTTCATATTTACAATTTTTTCTAAAGCTCTAATGAAAGTACTATTTGTAATTACTATAGTAGTGATAAATAGTTCTATAATTTTTAATATAATTTCTTTTATTATTTTATTAAATATAATGCTTACAGCTGCACAAGAGTCTAGCATAATAATTACTAATTTGTTTTTTATATTTATATAACAGTGATTAGCTGTAATTCTTTTATTTCATTAGTCTTGTATGGTGTTCATAGGCTCAAGAAGTGGTAATAGTAATTTTAATAAAGACAACAGTCTTCATTAGGCTTTTGTGAGCTTTTGTTTAAAATCAGATATTGTAGCATTTGTTCTAATATTATATTAGATCTTGTATTCATAATATTTACTGTTACATTGTATAAGGCTAATTGATTGACTACAAATAAATATCTTTTTCTTTAAGATTTTGTAAAAGAGTTACTAAAGCTTCTGGTACTAGTATAAGTAGGTTTACAATTGTAAGTAGTGCTACTACTAAGTCTATATTTATAGATAGTTCAATTGAGACTTCTTGTTTGAGTAGGATAAATCTATATTGTTCTTTTATTTTATTCTCTAACCTTTTGAAACAGTGACCTATCAGTCTTTTAGTAATTTATAGTTCATAGTAGGTCACAGATCAATTTCAGGTTTATAACCTTTATTTAGTTTAATTTTATAAAAATTAACATTATCAGATCTAGTTAAAATATAAATAGATTGATTATTTTAATTGTTTAAATTGGCTTAGTTGGTCTAAACTCATTTATTCTAATTGTTTTAGTTTAGATTTAAGATTCTTTTAGATATACAATAATGAGAAATATAGTCAGACTTTTTATATTTATAGCAAATTAACTTGGTTAAATCATAACTATTATAATTATTATTATTATGATAATTATTATTATTATTAAGAGAATGAAATTTAGAAGGTGCAACTTTAGTATGCAGAGTAAGGGTAACTGGCAACTTCTTAAAAATGACTTGCATTTGGTAAGTTAAACTATTAAGATCATTTTCCAATTTCTTATTATTTTGAACCTTTTCTTTATTTTTTCTATTATAGTACTCTCTAGTTTCAATTTTATAGTCATTAATTATAGCATTTTTTAATATTAGAGATTTAGTTTATAGCAACATTTTGCAAATATTTAGAGGCTATTTTAATTTTTTTTAGAGGTCTAGTTGTTTGTATTAGTGATATAATTAAACATTTTAACCTACTCAAGAGAATATTTCTTCTTTGTTCTATAAGATAGTTTAACTTATACTAAGCTAGTTTCTTTTTTAAAGATTCTTGTAATAAAAACAACTTTAATAATAACATCTTTAAAGACTTTTACTATTTTTTTCAAAACCATATAAAGGAAGTCTTGATTAGGTTGTTTGTTAAAGTTTTCATTATTATGTTTATTGTTTTTTTCTATATATAAGAAGTACTAATTGATAAATGTCCTATTACTATCACTGTAGATTAATTATTTATCATTATCTTGATTAAGACAAAGATTGTTTTTAATATTTTGCTGATCTATATTATAACTATATATATATATATATATATATATACTTGCTTAAAATAGAGGTTATACAAATATAACATTATAGTCTTCTATTATTTGTTTTGGCTTACTTGAGATTATTTTATAGTTTAATTGTTTGCTAATTAGAAATAATTAATCAAATATATTCTAATATCTATTTATACTAATTTTTAGATTTAATTTATAGATTCAATTTAAATTTTTTCTAAAATATTATAATAATTACACATGTAAATCTTATTTGTAATTTGTTAAAAGTTTTTTTTTATACAATATACTTTTGATTACATTATTATATTATTTTTTTACTTTACTATTATTTTATAGTATATTGATAATACATTTTTTTTATAACTTTTTTTTTTATATATATATTATTTTTTTTTTAAATAAATTTTCTTTTTTTTATATAAATATTATAAAAAAATAAGGTTTTGTCATTTATTAAATTTTTACTTCAAAGTTTGATCAGATATATATTAATTCTTTTTCTTTTTGGGTTATAATTCTGTCTTGGCATTATACTAATCACTTTTCTTTCTTGTCCTTCAATAAATCAATCTAATATCTGTGCAGTACAAAATGTAAAATAGTACAAGTGTACATTTTTTAACAAAAATTAGTAAACTTAATATGTCAGTTCTAGATTTTAAAATTCAAAAAAATTTGATTTCTATTAGTATACAACTGCAACAAGTGAACACAGTCTATCAGTTCAATATAATTGAAAAAAAATAATATAATCAAAAATTTTTTTGTATCAGAAAAGAAAGATAGTTAATGTTTTTATAGTTTTATTTCTTTTAGTAATTAGAACAGTCAGAATCATTAGATCTTACAATCATCACAAATTAATATGAACTATTAGATCAGTAATAGTACTATTGGAACAAGAAAGAATGTAATGAATTGTTGCTTTGAAAACATTAACATCACATAACATTACTCAAAAACAGATGAGGCAGATTCAATTTGATTTTGGTCAAAGATGACCTTTGAGAACATTACAAGAAACTCAGATATAATATAATATAGATTAAAGAAGCATAAGATTTTATTTATTTATTTATAATAATTAAAACTTTCTATTAATTTATTTTTATTTTATTTGTTTAAAGCAGATTATTATTCAAAGATGATTCAGTTTTCTCTAATATGATACAATATAATTGATTATAATTCTACAAGAAAAAGAAATTCAACTTATTTTTATAATAAATTTACAAGAAAAAAAAAATTTCAAACACAACTTGAACACCTTTTTCTCATTGTCATCAACTGTTTTACCTTTATTTGCAAGTACTTTTCTCTTTTTTCTACAACTCATCTGTTGTTACTTTAAATTTTTCAATAGAATTTTGATTCCTTTCATAACACACAACCCAACATATGACGATGCATTGACACGACCACAGACTTTACCTATTAAAGTAATATTACCTTGACAGATGTATTCCAAATCGGACGGGTGGCTTTTCTTCAATGGGATCGGCGCCGTCACTTAATGAAGAACCTGGGTCGCGGACATTGTGGTACGATGGTTTTCATGGGGCGTTTCGGGTGACGTTACATGTTTATTCCTCATGGTCCTAGGGTCGGGTTAACCCATAACAATGTTCATAATGCACCCGCCCTTCACAGACGCATTTTGGCGAAAGCTCTCACCTTGGTACACCCAACGATCTATTTTTTATAGCGAATATTTGCAAACTGGAGAAAGGTCAAGCGAAAGAAGACAAAAAAATTGCATAGTTTTGATGCTATATTAGTTTGCAAGAAAAGCTAGTTTTTCAGTTTAAGGTTTAGCGTTACACCTAATGATAACTTAAAAAGGAAACATCGTGGGAAAATTTTCATTATATTAATAAACCGATCAGAATGCTGTAAAAAAAAAAAAAAAAATGGGAAATCTTTCAAAATTAATTCAGAAAGGAGATTTAATTTCATTACGTACATATTTTGGCACGTTTTCACTCGAAGAGTCACGTAAAGTAATAAATTCCCCTGATGCTCATAATGATACTTTAATACATTTTGCAGCACGTTTTCATAAACTTGATATATTATCTTTTCTTGTTCAAGACATGGGTGGTAATGCCATGGCTGTGAATGAACATGGTATTAACCTATATAACTGATATTTTTTATTTTTTTGTTCAATTATAATCTTATGAACAACATAAATATCTTTTAAAAATAGGACGTCAACCGTTACATGAAGCAATTGATAGTTTAGATTGTGTAAAATTTTTATGTGAACAAAATGTAGATGTCAATTGTATGAAACGTGGTGATTGGACACCCATAATGATTGCTGGTGAATATTTCGATGATTAACCAAAAATGTGAATTAAAAGTGTGAACTAAATTATGCGATTAAATCTTTAATTAACGATGAATAAAATCGAAAAAATTGAATTAGCAATGAAAGGTAGACTTGATATTGTAAAGGTTCTTGTCGATCATGGCGCCAATGTAAACTTTCAGAATAAAGACGGTTGGAATTGTCTTCATTTTGCTGCAAAAGAGGGTAATTTAAATAATCTTTCTTGAAATTTTATAAACTTTATATAAATCTTATAAATTCTTTATTAATTTATATATTAAATAAGGTCACCTTGATATTGTAATATTTTTACACTCAATTTCACCATCTCAAAGTTTAATCCCAAGCAAATCTGGTCGTTTACCAATTCATACAGCTGCATTATGTAACCATCCCAAGATAGTTTTTTTTTTACTCTCTTCAGTATCATCTCAAAAAGATTTGCTTGGTTTATTATCATCAGTAGACAACAGTGGAACTTCTTTATTACAAAATGCTGTAGTCTCTGGAAATCTTCTGATGGTTAAAAAACTAATTCAAGAATACCGCTGTTCCATAACCCATAAAGACAAATTAGGAAGGCAAGTAATACATAATGCTTCGATGATTGGTGATCTAAATATGATTAAACTTTTAGTTGAAGCTGGATGTAATGTCAATGAAAAAGATGAATGGGATGGTTGGACTTCTTTACATCACGCTTGTAAAGAAGGTCATATAAATGCTGTAAATTATTTGGTGAATGAGTGTGATGCGAATGTGGTTCTCAGAGATAAACATTCAAGGTGTGCTTTGGAAATTGGTATGTTGTCAATTTTTTTAAAAAACAAAAAATTTAATTATATATTTAAATATGGTGCTGGATGCCCCCAATTCAATAATCATTTCAATTTTTTTAAAAATTTCTTCAACTCAACGTAGAAATAAAATCTTTGAAATTTCATAGGTTCTTTTTCCTTTATGATAAGTTCTACAAATTTTACATTGGAATTTTAAAAAAACTATTCGACAGTTTTGCTTTTGCTGGAATTTTAACATAATTTAATATAAATTTTTAAATTTTGTGGTGGTTTTTATGTTAATAAAATAGTATATGCGAATTTTAGTATATGTTATAGATTTAAACAGGAGTTCGGAATCTCAAATATAAGCTACCACATTTATTTATGTCGAGTTGATCGTCTTTTTAAAATTGAAAATGAGTTGAAAACGAGTTTAGGCTTCAGCACCATATATTTGTTATTAACAAATTAATAATTCAAAATCATTTTAGCTAAATCTTGGGGCAATTTAGAAATTGCCAAATTGCTTGAAGGCATTCATTCTATAACACTATAATATTTCACCCATACCATACTGATCTAGATGTTAAACACTGGTCGATTAGTCATTACAAATGATAGATTAATTGGTTTATGCATGATTACATTATAACACAAAAAGAATTATCGTTTTTTAATAGAAATTATTATATGTATATGAATAATGCTTAAAATTTAACATCACTTTACATTAGTTAGAAATATAAAACACGTTAAAAGAAGTTAGAGTTAAGAGTTAAAGAGAGAGCCTTTAATAATTATAGTATCTTTAATTAAATGTGTACATTCGTTGGAAAGGATGTTATTAACCAAGTTTTATCTTCAACAGCCTTAAAGATCTTTAAATTTGCTAAATTAGTACCGTATTCGGATATTACCATAGCTAATATCGTACTTGAGGATCGAGATGTTAGATGGGGTGTAAATCAATGACAGATGATAAATAATAATTGATATTGTCATAGAATCAAAATTTTATACTATAAATCAGTGCTGGGTATAAGCTAGCAGCTTTTGGTAGTGATTGATGTATCAATGGATACCGCCAGGATAAAACTACACATCAGAATTTCAAGCTCATTATTAATAAACTTAATACCAGAAGTATGATTTTCTCTTGGATGATATCCTTACACAGTATATTAATTACTCTAAAACATATTAAATTACAGCGTAAATAATAATATAAATATAAATGCATCCAAATTAATAGAACAATGATACATATTAAGTTCATCTGATTTGAAGAAAGTTGATTAATTCTTGTAATTTCAATGAATTGCTTTTGAACTTATTTCTGTTTCATCATACTTATAAATTTAATTATAATATATATTTCATTAAGACATTTAATATAACTAGTTAGTATAATTTTAATGCTTGTTCTGGTTCATTTTCTTGGAACCTTCTTTCTCGTTCCTGTATCTTAAAGAAGTAAATAAGAAAATTACTTGATATGAATATTCATAAGATATAATATACATATATATGTCGCATCTGAAGTAGCGATTTATCTAAAGTAGCCACTTTATATATCTAAAGTAGCGCCCTGGCTAAAATTAAAATCTAATGCATGCATGAAGATCCAATTTCAAGGGCTTAATTTTAGCCAGGCGCTACTTCAAATAAATCGCTACTTCAGATGCGACATATATACGAATTACCTATCCTATCGAACAAAGTCAGAAAATTAAAATATATATATATATGAAATTGTTTATATACAGTTCTTGATTATGATAAAGTAAAAAGTAGTACCGTCTAGTGGTAGTACCCAACCTACCCCTTTCGTGATAGGATGTTCCTCTGAGGTACCGGTGCTAGCACACCCCCTCTTCCAGCTTTTGAAGTGTACCCGGGCGCTACCCCAACCAGGTCTCCTCTCTTGTAAGGTAGGTTTTTTCCATCAGTATCATTGGGGTTTGCCTTACTCTGTTCGGGAGTCCTCAACTTTAAATTCCAACCTGCTCGTTGAAAAAAATTATAGGATTTGATTGGTCACACAATGTGTGGATCCACGGAAATTTATTCCCCGACAATCATTTTATGATTGGCTTGATTTAAAATTAGCGTTGATAGATTGTCAAGAAAAATCATAATGATAAATTTTTATTTTTATTGGTTGATTGTTTTATGATACAATGTTTTGATTCGAAACTACGTAGTAATTTATAAAATTAAAAATTTAAGAATTCGCAAAATAGGTTATAAAAATAGTAATATATAAAAAACCTTATTTTCTTTAAATTTTGGCTTTTTTATTAACTTATCACCCGATCACTATATCAAGATCATGGGAGGATTATTATAATTTTTTTTTTTATTCGTGTATCTAATAATTTATCAAAATATAATAGGATGAGACTTGAAAATTTAATTAATGTTGCTTCAATTATTTACCTTGCACTTGTAGATTGAATGAACATCTCAAGTATTGATCCGAATCGGCAATCGATTAATTGAATTGGCTTTTGTAAATTAGTTATTAGTTTTAATTATATAATTTTTTATTAGTTAACTTCATATGATTTATTTATATTAATTTGTTAAAAAAATCTGTTTCCTAACATTTAAGTAGATAATTATTTAACGATTAGTTGCTTCAAAAATTTTAAATTGGCAACTTTTCGTTTAATCGATTGTTTGATTTGTATAACTATCTAATTCTAAATCCTTATTCTTTGTTGAATTATATACCATTAATTAAATCGGTCTGTAATTTATTAGAAACAAATGATATTATTAGGATTGATAAGTATTTTATTGGCACTAATACGTAGTCATGTCGATCAAAGATGCAATAACAACGAAGAATAATGCAACGATGTTATTGGTATATCTAACATGAATTTGTTTTATGTAACTAATGACTTATTGCAGAATAATATATGCTCATTCGCATAGAATTTACGCAATATTATATATAAGTTAAAAGTTTATTGACTGGAGCTGAGGGAATCGAAGTGAAAGCCTTCAAACCATACTCTACGAATTTTCGGAAATGCCCGGTTTCCGCTTCAACTGATTCTGATTTAAGTTCAAATTGAACCTAAATTAGGTTCAATTTTGGATTCTGGAATATTAGTTTAAAATACAACGACTGATTTTTAAAACAGAAGAAAAAATTTTAACTACTGGTTTATTTCGTTTACACTGTATCCATCGTCAATATGTCATTACAAAAAAAAATAATGTCATTATATCGCAAACAAATACATTAAATTAAAAAAAATAAAATAGAGCAAATATTATTTTTCAACTTGGTAAATGTTTTAAAATAAAAAAAAACGCAAGAGAACCTATATGCCTAAGCAAATAGCCATAATAAACGAAGCTAGAAGAAAGCGAAAAGGTTCAATGACTCAAGAACAGCAGCTAGAGTATAGAAAAAGTGAATCAGAAAAAAGACAAGCTCGTAATAAAAGAATAGTTTGTTTGTCATACTCTACTGAATTTTGGAATGTCCGGCTTCTGCTTCATCCTAACCCAAATTTTATGTTCAATGACCAGAATCGAACCTAAATTAGGTTCAACGGTTTGAATACCTGAATCTTGAGTTAAAATAATATGATGTTTAACTTTTAATAGAAATATATGTAATAGTTATATTATGGGTAAACGGAATTTTGTAGTAAACTATAATCTGCCGCATAAGCGACCAATTGTACTTTGCTACAAGATTCCGCTTATATCAACTGCACAGGATGTAACTGATCTATCCATGCAACATAACTTTAATGTGCTTATTTTAAAGTGAAACCTTTATTTTACGCATATTTAAAATTAAATGGGATAATATACTCAATCACCTATTAAACAGATACATGTCTAGTAGAAATTAGCTGAGTTTAATGTTTGGATACCGAACTCTTGATTTAAATATGATAGCCGACTTTTAATCGTATATTAACTACTAATAAATGGCACTTTAATTCTCTATAGTAATTCTGATTAAAATGAACAATTATAAGGGTTTAACACTATCTATATCGAATCAAAACAAGTAGACCAATTCGACCTATTAAATATACTGTACTTAAGAAGAAAAATAAAGAACTTGTTCTCGACGTAATTCCTTTATGTCTTGCTTAGGCAACTTATAAGTTTTGATACTGCAATAAATCTTGGAAATAAAAGAGTTTGCTGACCTTCTTTTTGATGGTGCTTTTTTCTTTTGATAGATTACAAATAAAATATTATGGCAAATATGTATTTACAACAAAAATAATAGAACAAAATTGCTTTCTTTATAGATGTAATCTTGTAAATAATACTGTATATGGCAATTTACAAAATCTAAATAATATTTTAAATTTAGTTCAAAAGCGTAAGACCTAATAACTAGAGCTCCAGCCCATAAAACGTCGCCATTTTTCTAGTTTAATACAATTTAAATGAGGTGTTTATATTCTGTATTATTTTGAATTTATGTCGATTCAGAATTGACTAACGTTACCAACTTAATTAAATTTACATGCTAAAATAATTTACTTTGAAAAAAAAACCTTGTTTAGTAATTACAAAAATTGAGTCATTGATATATCATATAATTTATTTAAGCTATCCATGACGCTGTAAATCAAGATGCAATGTATTACCTTTTTAAAAATGATTTTTATGATCCTTTTACTGTATAAGTTCTGGTCAGGTGTATCGCATTGTTGAAACTCATGAACTTGCACCTGCTGGATCTGATGACATCAAAAACCAACCTTCAACAAAAGTATCAGGTAGCACTAGTTCCGCTACTGCTTCCTCTACTGCCTCGGCGGCAAACTCAAATAGTCAA